ATTTCACAAACAACAATGAAAAACCAGCCTCAACCAAGCAGCCTTCCAGGGCCTGTGGGTGGGTTTCTGGCTTCCAGAGATGGTGAGTCCTGAGAGCAGCAGGGGGCTGCTGTGCCCACCTGCCGGCCCTGGGCTGTGAGCTGAGCCTATCCTTCTGCCATCGGGTGCTGTCCTGCGCTCTCCCCACCTTCTCTCTCTTGCTGGCACTGAGGGCCTTTGCACTGAGCTACACTTCCAGCCCCTTTTAATTTTTTTATTTTGAGAGAGTCTCACTAAGTTACCCAGGTGGAGCTTGAATTTGCAATCCTGCTTCAGCCTCACTGGGTGCTGGGATTACAGGTGTGTGTCAGGCAGGAGCCAGCCTGTCCGCCTCCCTCCAGGCAGACCTGTTGGGCTGGAAGAGGCCTCACTGGGCTGGGTCTGTGCGAGCATGGGGGTGTGAGGACAGGGTGTGGTCCTGAGCCTGGGTTTGGGACTAGGCAGGAGGCCACACCATCTGTCCCTGGCTTGGCCAGCTCCTCTGCAGCCTGGGCTCTGCAGATGCCCTTCCTCGGGTCTGGACGTCCAGCCTTCCTTCTCACCCCTCCATTCCTGCTCATCTTCAGCCATCAGCACTTTCATTCCTTCCTCCAGGAAGACCTCCAGGCTTTCTGCCCCATTCAACCACCTACTGTGGCTCCCGGGGCATAGCTCCCTCCCTTGGGGGCTTTTCCTTTGGTGTAGTAAGAGCTGTTTTTCAGCATGGGAGGGACCATCTCTTGTCGGGGCTGGGGGCCCCTACTAGACAGAGGTCCTTTGTCCACTCTGGTGACCCCAGTGCTGGACGCCAAGTGATTCTGAGGAACATGTGGGTCAGGAAGAGAGCACACAGGTGGTGCCCGTTTAAACTCCTGCTCCTTCAGCTGCTTTTCTCCCCCTCCCACCAACCCAGAGCAGGAAGGCTGTGGCTGTAGCTAAGCCCTCCTGCCTGGGGCCTGGAGCTTCCCTGGAGGCTGCTCCATTGAGCCCAGACCTCCCTAGACACGAGCCCAAGTTGTGCCCAGCTGTGAGCTGGAGCTGCTGGTAAAAGGCGGGTCGCTCCCTCTCCAAGCCTCAGGTGGCTCCACACCCATGAATAACCTCCCTGCCAGGTGACTGATGTCGGAGTGGCTTGGGACCTCCTTCCTTCCACTATGCAGCCCCTCCTCCCCTTCCACCCCATCAAGGCCAAGACTGAGTGGGAGGTCTGTCCTCTGTGGCCACAGGGGGACAGAGGTCCTCCCAGCCGACCAGGTGAGCAGCCCAGCTGGGAGGCCACCTCCACCTGCTTCCTGTCTCACCTGCGCTGTGCAGGGCCACCCAGCTGACACTTCCTAACAGCTGCCTGCATGGAACTGGGAAGATGGTATGGGGTAGGGGTGGGCTCTAGGAGAGGATGCCCAAGATCAAGTCCTAGCTCAGCCCTGGTGATCTTGAGCAGGTGACCAACCCTGTCTGGGCTTCCTTTACCTTATTCTGTTGAAACAGATGAATGACAGGATCTCACCTCAGAGTTTGTGGGGATGGAGTGAGGCTATGTCTAGCAGCGGCCTACTGAGGGTCTGGAGGGTGATGGAACCAGTCCCACAGCATAGTCACGTGGTCACACTACTGCTTTCTGCCCCAGACCTGGGGTCTGGCCTTACCCCAGGGCCCCATTTTGGAGATACTGCCTCCCTAGGTCAGGAGGGGACCCAGTGTGAGGGACAGCAGGCCTGAGCTCTTGCTGGTAGAGACACAACCACACCCTTGAGGCTTGCCTAAGCTAAGGTCACGAAGACTTTTCTACCATTTTCATGTGGACACCTATGGTTTTAGGGTTCTTTTAGCAATTGGAGGAATGCTAAAAGCATTTGGAGCTGTTTTAAGTCTGATGAGAGGTAAGCAGGGAAGTTTACCATTTGGCAGTGATGTCTAATTGTTCCAGTGCCGATGGTGGGAAGGTTATTCTTTCTGTACTGAATCATATTTATATCTTTGTCCCTAACTCAATGCCCACATGCCGATTTTGGTCTCTATTCTGATCCATTGATCTGTTTATATTATTTTCATGCCAATACTACACTGTCCTGGTAACAGTAATTTGATATGTTCTGAAAACAAGTAGTATTGCCAGTTCTTCATCTTTGCCCTCTTTCTAATTTGTTTTTATGTGTTATGTATTTTGCATTTACACCTGAATTTTAATTTTTTACTGTTTTTTTTCTTGTGATGGATCATGCTGAGCGAGACTACCACTGAGCCGTATCTCCAGCATACATTGTAGAATTAGCTTAAGTTCTATGCTAAAAATCCTGCTGGAGTGCTTTTTTTTTGTTTTTTTCTCTGGTACCGGGAACCGAACTCACGACCTTGCGCTTTCCAGGCAGGCGCTTTTGCCGCTGAGCTAAATCCCCAACCCCTTTTTTTTCTTTTTTGAGACAAAGTCTCACATGTAGTTCAGGTGGGCCTGAAACTCACTGTGTAACCCAAGCTGGCCTAGACTCACATTGATACTCCTGCCTCAGCCTCTTAAGTACTGAGATTACAGGCATGTGTCACCACACCCAGCTACTTCTGGAACTCTGATGGAGACTGGATTGAATATATAGATTCATTTGGAGAGAATATATGTATTAACAATATTGACTCTTCCCATCCATAAAACCAGAGTCTCTCTCCACTCCTTTAATTTCTCTTGAGCAGTATTTTAGTTTTATGTGTACTATCTTCCACATCTTTTGCCATATTTATTCCTAAGTGATTAATGTTTTATACTATTATAAATTATATTTTAAATTTTTCAGTTTGATTGCTTATTATTAGTAGAAGGAAAGACAACTGATTTTTCTATATTTATCTTGTTTCCTGTAACTTTGCTAAGCACATATTCTAATAGTTTTTTTGTTTTTTGGTTTTTTTTTTAAAATTTTTTTCCAGTACCGGGAATCAAACTCATGACCTCACGCTTGCCAGGCAGGCGCTGTGCCACTGAGCTAAATCCCCAGCCCCTCTAATAGTTTTTTTTTATACAGTCTATTGGATTTTCTACATAATCACATTGTCTGTGAATAAAGCTGTTTCATCTCCCTCCCCATCTGGCAGCTATGTGAGGGATTCTGGAGAAGACAGACCATGTGACAAACTATTGGCCACTCCCATGGTTCCATCTCCCGGAAGCCTCCGTCTACATAGACCATGCCCTGTACCTGTCCAGGTGTCGCTGTGCTAAGTGACAGGGTGAGGAGCAGCCCTGGGCTGTCAAGTGGGACTGCCACACGGTGTGATTCATTCCTGGACACCCTCTGCTCTTCCTCCTCAGCCCCTTCATTGGAACCCCCATCTGCCAGGGACCAGGGCTGCTATCAGCCAGGGCTGGTGGGACCAAAGTCCAACACGTTCATATGTCACTGACCAGTTTGGTGCATGGCAATGTGGACTGCTGGGGATGGTCTGGGTGTAAACCAGCCTCCTGCAGGCGACCGTTTGCCTGTGTGCTTAGAGGTGACTCAGGCCCTTTCCTGAGAGGTGGTTCTCTTGGGGCTCCTTTCACTTTTTAAAATTTGATATGTGATATACTAATTATTGTTTAGTATTAAATGTTTTTTCCAAATCTTTGTTATGATTGGGGGGCATAAGTTACTTACAAATCATTTGTAAATGACATATAAAACATTTTTTATATTTCTAAACAGTTTAGATTTGAAATTTATCTTGTTGTTATTTGTTTCAATTCTATTGGACTGTGTCAAAGAACATGATATATAGCTAATGAAACTAAAAAGTAGACCTTAGTGGGGCATAGTGGTACACACCTACAATCCCAGACTCAAGAGGTTGAGGCAAGAGAATTGCCTAGGTCAGCCTGCACCACATAGTTCAAGACCACACTGAACTACATAGGGAGAACCTGTCTCAAAAATGCCAAAACCTAAAAATAGACATTTACTTCTTAGAACAATTTTAGGTTTTACAGAAACTTTTTTTTTTGTCTTTTTTTTTTTCTTTATACGGTCTCACTATACAGTTCAGGCTGGCCTTGAGCTCACTTTGTAGCCCAGGATGGTCTTGAGCTTGCAATGATCCTCCTGCTTCAGCCTCCCGAGTGCTGCGATTACAGGCGTGTGCCACCATGCCTGGCTACAGAAACTTTTTTTGTTTTTCTTTCAAATTTTAATTTTTATTAGTACATGTTCATAGTACTATATGGTTATATTCATTATATGTTCATAGTACTATATGGTTATATTCATTGTAGGAAGTTGGTATATAGTCTTAATTCTTTTTACATCCCCTCCCCCTCCTCTACTCCCTCATCATTTCTTGGTTCTTGAGGCTCCTTTAGCCCCCGCTGCCCCCTTTGTTTGCTAACCATGGTGGGATTTTCCAAATGGAAAGAAAGCCACCAACTTTCCCAGCAAGCACCCACTTACGGAATTTAACAAGTGTCACATTCCACAGGGGTCACTGCATTGAATTCAATATGAAAAATTGAAACATGTACACAAGTAGTCAGCACTAACCCAGGACCCTCATATACCCTGCGGTTTGAATTTATAATCATCTTGCCTCAGCCTCCTAGAGTGCTGGGGTTACAGGTGTGTGCTACCACACCTGGATGGAGCTTTTTAAAGTACACTAGACATCTAGAAGCATAATCCTTAAACACTTCAGCATGCAAGGTCAGGTCTTGATGCCACCGTCATCCTGGCCCGTGGTAATTCCTGCGTACAGATGTACCTGGGGCCCTGCTGGGATCTGTGGGATGCTGGGAGGGGGTGGGGGGCAGCCAGGTGGAGCCTGTGCTCATAGGTTCCAGCACATACTGTGGGTTTCTGAGGAGAGCTCTGTCCACATCAGCAGCCAGGGTGATCCAGTGGGTTACTCCTGTATGGATGCAGGGGCCCCATCTTAGGACCCACAGAGCCAGGGCAGCCCTTCGGTCCTGAAGCATGGATCCAGGGTCTGGCTGAGCCTCCTGACCTCTGGCCTTTCCCTTCCAGACCCCGACTGGGCATCCTACACCCTGGGGGTATTCATCTGCCTGAGCTGCTCTGGAATCCACCGGAGTATCCCTCAGGTCAGCAAGGTGAAGTCGGTCCGCCTGGACGCCTGGGATGAGGCCCAAGTGGAGGTATGGGGAAGGAGCTCGGGGTGCAGGGGCGGGAGAGGGGTGAAGGAGGGTGAGGGCCTTAGCTGGCCCTCTCTGGCTGTGGACATCTCTGTGGCCTGCAGGGCTCCTGCTGCTGAGGGTTTCATTGATGAACCCTGTGGGAGGCCATGGGGGTAACAAGAGCCAGGGCACCCATCATCCACCCATCCATCCCTCACTTGACCTACTGTGTGCCAGGCACCGCGGGTCCAGCCAGGCAGATGAGTCGTCATCCCTCAGAAGGCTAGGGAAGGGGGCCAGCGTGCGATGGAACCGCGGCCACGCTGCCGATGGGGGCAGTAATTGGCCAGCGGGGCTGACCCCACAGGGAGTGGCAAGGGGATGTGGCCTGGGTCAGAGAAAAGTCCCCACACAGGCTGAAGTGACAGATCTGGTTTGCATGTTCAAAGCCCTGGGGTGCTGGTGCCTTGCATGCCCCCATGCCTCACTGGGAGCCTGTGTGAGCTGCCGTCCCAGCCACGCAGCTGACCTGCAGGGCCAGATCCTGGGCATGAGGCTGCGGGGGGACTCCCCAGCCTCCTGGGCTCACCGGCTCAGGCCCTGGCTGATTGCTGACTTTGGTTTATGCTATGAGCCCTTTTTGCTGGGCAGCCTCCGTTTAAGCAGGATGGTCCCTGGATTGGCCCCCCTTGCTGGCGGGGACAGAGCATCCAAAATCAGTGTCAAAAAGGTCAGGGCTTGTGTCCCATTTCTATCACCCTTCCCACCGTCCTGGAGGAGTGAGCTGCCTGGTGGGTCCCTGGGGCCCAAGGCCGAGGGTCATCCTGTTGATTGATAGGAAAAACCGGTGAGAGTGACAGGACACTTCTGTGGCAGCTGGAAGCGTCCTGAGCCCACCTGGTGGGGCAGAGATAGTGGCCTGGCCTGAGAGCAACTCTCAGGATGACATGGCCATGGGGGAGAACCAGACCCGGGCCATGGGGGCCAGGCAGGGGGGCTCTGCCCCTTTCCTCCCCCGCCCCTCCCTTCCTCTCCTCTCTTCTCCACATTACATAGATTGTACATTTTTCCCAACTTTATATGCCTTTATAATTTTTATGTACATATGTTGTATTTATTTGTTTGATGATGGAAACCAGGGCCTTGTGGATGCGGGGCAAGCACGCAGCGCTGAGCCATACCCCAACCCTACAGAGGGTTTTTTATACAACCGTGTCATTGGTTGAATTCTCAAACCCACCTATAGCGCACACTTTAAGGTTTTCAGTATATTGACAGACTTGTTGACCATCATGGCCAATGTTAGACATTTTCATCAGCTCAGGAGACCGTGTGGCCTTTCGCTGCCAGCCCTGTGCAGTCCTGTGTGCGCTCTCTTTTTAGATCTGCCTGTCCTGGACGCATGACAAAGTGCAGGGGCACAGGACAAGGTGTCTTGTGTCTGGTTTCTCTCCGAGGGTCTTGTCGGGGACCAGGTGTGCTATAGCATGTCAGTGCATCACTCCTGCCTGTATCTGGTGACTTTCACCCATGCTATACTTCGTCTGTCTGCTCTTCCACGGGGCCCTGGTTGTCCCCACCTGATTTGGGGTGCTTTGGTGACGTGACACTCTGTGCACACGCGCCCTCTCCGTCTCCTGACCTGGCCTCTCACCCGCTGCCACTGCCCCTGTTGCCCACACTACCTGAGTGTGTCTCATTCAGACACAACAGACCGGCTCACCCTCACTCGTGGGCCTGAACCCTCTGAGTACATGGGCTGCGGTGTCCCCGGCCCCCTCAGGTGATATCCAGACTGTGTCCAGACTTGCTCTGCTGTGATCTCGGGGCCGGTGACCTGCCTCATAGTGAGGGAGTTTCCTGTGACCCAGAAACCTCGAGGTTGAAGTACAGTGTCAGAGGTCACACGGTTTGGTTAATTGTTGAGAGATTTTTGCTAAGTCTGCCCTACTGTACAGACGAACAGGCTGCCCCAGCCCTGCATAAAAGTGTCACACCGCCTGCCAGCTCTCAGCCCCTGGTGCTGACCTGTGGTGCCCCGTGGTGGAAAACTGCTCTCCACAGGGTCTGGAGTTGGAGGGTTTTTTTATCCTAAACAGGCAAAGCAGCTTGGGATTCCATCGGAGTGACTCCTCAGACCTCTGCTGGGTTTTGGCTGTGGGTCTCTCTCTCTCTCTCTCTCTCTCTGTCTCTC